TCTCCTCGTCCTTGTCGTCGTTTATGCTTGACGGTTCACTGCTTCACGGCAGTGCTGCCGGCAATGTGCTATGGATGCTTATTTCACCAGTTGTGCCAGAGCGCCTCTAACGTGCACGACCTTCTTTCACTGCGGAACTGTAGCGGTCCCAGGGGGGAGGAGGGAAGGAGACGCCCCTCCCCCCTCCCCCCTTCTCCTGCCCTCGAGTGTGCTCGCCCGACCGACCTCGGCCTGGCCAGAATATGTACAGCCTGCGCAGAGGGGGACCGAACGAGGCGGCCGCCGCTGACGCAGAACCGCGGCAGCGCCGTGCTGCCGAGAAGCCCGGAGGGTATCTCAGACGACGTCTGGCGGCGCGCAGGAGGGAGCTGGCGAGAGAGGAACGCCCCTCCAAAAAGTCAGGGTAGAAAACGGAATCATCACCACTCCGTGGCAACGCACGGGAGCCTCCCACACCATCTTGTTAGCTCCCGCGAATCGACGCTGATTGGCGCTTGCTTTACCCGAATCGACGCTAGATCGGCGCTATCCCATCGATTACCAGACACGAATCGGCGATGGTGCACTCTAAGGGCAGAATTGCGAGGGCTTCCAAGGCTCCCATGATTTGCTACCGAACCACGAAGATGACGGGCACCCCTACAACCGAGGCCCTTGAGTGACCACGCTTGGCCGGACAACGGAGTCGGACGAGACACGGCCGTCCAATAACCGCACACGACAACGCATTATCAAACGCCAATAATGGGGGTTGGGTCCTCCGAAGTGGAGCTTCCCACAAGCGCATGGAAGCTTCCAAGCAGGCCTCTTGGAAGGCGTGAAGACTGATGGGAAGCTCCCCTGCCCTCTTAAAATCACCCCCCTTCTTTCAGCCCCAGTGTGCACGCCGCCGAGACATCGGACCGATGCCGTCCACGGCCTCAAACCAAGAACGCTCCGAAGTCTTGGGGCGCCGCAAACAAGAACGACGCAAAACATGACGGGCATGTTCTCGCGATCTCGGCCTCCATGGACCTCTTTCCAGCCCAAGGGCCGGCAACTAACATGCCGCGCTCTTTTGCCGGCGCGCACCAAGGGGGTAGGGGGAATGGGGAAAGCTTCTTAGAAAGAGGCTGCTTCTTAGAAGGCCCCGGCCCTACATCTACAGACAAGCGCCTTCTAAGATGCACGGGTGCCCCCCATCTGCGCGTGGCCGACAAACATGTCGTGCTTTTTGATCACGGGCTTGGGTTCGGGGGATACGGGACCCGATTCGTGAACCAAATGCGACTTCGAAATCTAGGCCCGTTCCAGGTTTCGAGCCGTGGAGGTGCCGCGTAGGAGGAGGCGCAAGCATTCGAAATTCGGTCCATCCACCTCGGCCATCAAGCTCGCCCTGCCACCTAGTGACAACTATCAGGGCGCGGCTGCTCTGGCAATGTGTATTCTCTCCAGTATGCGGCAGGAAGGCCTAAGCGCAAGAAAAATGCTGAATTATGTTTGCTGCTGCACGCAACTACGAAGAATCTCATTGCAAACATCGGAGGCGCAGGGTGCGTCCGCGTTCAAATGCGAGCCACCCCACATTGAAATCCCACTGAGCTTGCAAGTTCAGCTGATGGATTCCCCGAAAGAGCACGCTTAGGAGCCTGCTGTATGCAGAATCCTTCGATAATCCGCCACAGCGTTTGCACCGTAGCCAGTTCGCATCATTATGTTGCCGTTTGGCCTGACGCGAAACCATTCGAAACGGGTATCTGAACTTTGGGCTCTGTATACGTAACAGACTTGTTGGTGCGCCACGACACGATGTCCCGACTGTGCTCCCCTAGAGGCGGTGCAACATTCCCGACTCAGCTCCTTGCTCCAGTGTATGCCGCCTTAGGCGTGAGCACGAAAGGAACACCTGGACACTAGGACCTCATCAACTTGATGGACGCAAATGAGGCGGGATCGATAGTCCAAGTCCCAAGGTAGGTCACGGGATGCGTCGAATTCCGAAGCCCACCAGGTACTTCTCCCGCCGTGACACGCCTTCCAACATGCCATGCTCTCGTGGAAAAGAGTAGGGTGCTCATTCTGGGGAATTGCCCGAAGACACTCGCTCCAATCTTGCGGCTTGCGTCGAAGCTGCGTCGAACGTCCGTCGATTTGAGTCGACCCTGAGTCGATCCTGAGTTGAAGTTGAGTCGAACTTGAGTCGATCTTTAGTGAGTCGAACTGGGGTCGAATTAGGATATGAGTCGAACAGGAAGGTCCCCACAAAGAGCACCAAAAAAGAGTAAGGGGGCGGCGGGTTCGTCGGCAATCTGCGAAGCTCGAACGCAAATTGGAATGCGCCGATGTTGCATACATTGCACAACAAACCCGCCGGGTGGGCCGAACTTGTGTCAAACAATTGTGGGTGGGTCGCGTGTGGTTTGCGGGTGGGTCGCGGGTGGGTGGAAGGGGGTCGCGGGTGGGTCGCGGGTGTCGCGGGTGGGTCGCGGGCGGATCGCGGGTGGGTCGCGGGTGGGCGGGTCGCGGGCAAGGACGATGACGACAACAGCGACGCAAAAGCAACCACATAGGCTCAGCCGGCTGTTCCCCTCGACGCGCCCTCGCCCCCAGGGCGAGAACACCCCCTCCCAGGCCCAGCGTTGCTATTGTTGCCCACGGGGAGGGGGAGAGCAATGCGCAGCACCCCTGTCAAAGTCTTCACACATCTGAATGTGAGGGAAGAACTCTGCGACGAGATCCGTAAGAACCTCCATACATCCCTCTCTCGGAAAAGCGTACGCGCGACAGCGAAGCGATCTCCCCCTCGTGCGGGTCGAATTAGGAAACCTGCTGTGATCATACAACAACTGGCTGCAGACCTACTGGGATCCTGCCAGCGCTGGTTACGACCCTACTAGGACCCTGCGACAGCTGGCTTCAACTATAGCAAGCTCTTACTGTACCTGCCAGCAGCCCTGTCCAATAATCATAACACAGCTGCGTACACCTGTGATATGATCCTTCTACAAGTGCCCACGCATATCAAATGACCCTGCTAGAACTGTTTACACATGTGGCGGGATCCTGCCAAATGTGCCTACACCTGCAATGCGATCCCCTTTACAACTGCCATCACCTGCAGCACTCCTCGAATACCTGCCTATAAATGTAGTTGGCCCACGGAGAGGCGACCCTACTGCAGATGTCTACAGCTGTGTGCGGAGTTCGACTACATCTTCCTACACCTGTAATGCGTTCCGACTACAGCGCTCTACACCTGCAGTAACGCTCCCACTACAGCGGCCTGCAACTGAACAGCGATCCGACCGCAACTTCATACAGCTGTACTAAAATTATCAGAATGTGCCTTCGCCTGTAATGTATGCATTCTGCAACTGTCTGTAACTGTACTGAAACCCACTACACCACCGTTAACCCCTGCATGCGAATGCCTACATGCCAGTTGTCATGGGAATATAAGACGGCTGCCTACAGCTGTACTTGGCTCCTCTGTGTAATACCGCCTACATCTGTGAGGGGGCCCTAGCACATCTGCCTGCAACTGGAGTTAGATGTCATTGCATCTGCACCTGTAAGGGGATCCCACTACAGCTGCCTACATCTGCACTACTGTCATACGGCAACTGCTTACACCTGTAACCTATTTCTACACAACCTGCGTAATTACATCTGCAATGCGATCGGCATCACAAGATGCCTGGAACAACCTATCCGATCCCTGTTGGACTCAACTGGATCCCGATAGGATGTCGGCATGATGAAACGCCTAGATGCTCACCTAAGAGGAGCCCTGATAAGCACTCCAGGAATAAGTGGATCCCTGGGGTGTAACCCCCAGGAAGCCTGAGGAAACCTCGAAGACGCGGCGGGTTCCTGATAATATCGCAGAAACCATACCGACCCTGAGGAATCCCAGTGATTCTCCAGAAATCCTGAGTAGCGTTGGTGACTCTCCAGAAATCCTGAGTAGCGTTGGGGACCTTCGGGGGGCCCTGCGGATCCTGAGAAATCCTTTGGGTTCCTGGGGGATCCTACGGAGTCTTGAACAACTCGAAGGAATCCTGAAGAACTCTGAGAGACTCCTAAAGAGAACTGGTGCTTCCTAACAAGAATCCTGAGGAACCCTGATGGGTGCTTGGGAACCGCGCGAACTACAAGCAAATGCCGAAGAACCCTGAGGGATAATATGGTCTCCCGTGGAATCCAGAGGACACATGAGCAATCAGTTAGGACATCATACACAATGTTCAAAACACTGCACGGCATTGGAAACCATAGTGTAGTGGGCATCATGGCATACTGCATGGTATCTCACCAACCCGCTGGGCTGAGGTGGTTTGGAGCGGTTCCTCTTCCAGCCTTCCCCCTTCTTCCCCTTCGGGCATAGCGGGGAGGGGGTTCCCTTCCCCCCCTCCCTGGATCTGGATAGGGGGCACTTGCGAGCAGTTCGAGCGTCCACGATGGCCTTAGTGAGAAAACGAACCATCTTGACGTGTTCCTAAGTTTCGGGCTCATTTTGCCATCGGGAGGCTTTGATCGATACTTCCAAGATAGCCGCAAGAGGGCCCGAAAAGCTCCCACGAGTCCCAGGAGGCCCCCAAGAGGCCTCCAAAAAGGCTCCACGGAGCCTCCAACAGGCACCCAAGACGCTCCAAGAGGCTCCCCCCAGAGACGGAGAGAAGCCCCCAAGACGTCTCGAGACGCCTCTAAGAGGCCCTCAAGAGGCACCTCAATAGGTCCAATGAAGCATCCAAGGGGCCTCTGGCCCACACAGGCCCCCGATATCTCCTAATGATGCCACGCTCCCCCGTTCAGGGCAACTCTGATGGACATCGTGTCCGGATGGGCTGGTGGGGATACGCGAAACGTCAACGGTAGCACAGTATTGCTAGCACGCCACATCCTTGCAGACCACCGCATCGCAACATACTGCATTGTGTTGCACAGCGTAGAACAACACATCATGAAATCGGCATTGCACACCAAGACATGGCATAACAATGCGGAGTATTGTGCAACATACCCTTCCATTGCACAGCACTGCACCAATAACCACGCGCCCAAAAGGCCCGGAACCAGAGATAGGGGGGGCGGCGTACGGCAGGATCTTGTCGTGACGACCCCAGCGTTGGTTCCAGACACCGCATGGATGTTTTCATCTTGAAAGGTCGGTGGCTTTTCGATCGCAAGATCGTTACATGATCCATAATGGCAGATTCTGGGCCACTGGCTGCGTTCAACCTTGAGCGTGCGTCGACACCACGCGAACCTGCCGTACGCCGCACAGGACTTGTCTCACAGAAATAAGGCCCTCATCGGGCAGAACCCTATCGGGGAAAACGACCAGGGGCATCGAGACAACCATGCAGCGCCACTGCCGAGCCACAGTGTGCTAGTATTATGTAGCCCCATCGTACTCAAGGACCACATCCCAGAAATTCGCCGGCCCAACGGGCCAGGGCGTGCTAAGATCTCCGGTAACTGGTTAACAGTATTAACAGTATTTCTAGTTCGCGCGCGCGGGGCGGCCCCTGGGGGTCCCCCGGCGAAAAGTACCCCGACCAACGCCCGGTCGCCGCCCGACCGCCGCCCGACCGCCGCCCGACCAAGTCTACTCAGAGATGGTTTTCCTTCTGGGTGCGGCCTCTCAGGCTCCCCAGAGCGCGCTCAGAGTGCCCCAAGAGGCCCCCAAGACTGCCCAAGAGGCCCCCGAGACGCCCAAAGAGCGCTCGAAGACGCCGAAGATGACCCCAAGACGGCCCAAAAGGCCCCCAAGACAGCCCAAGAGGCCTCCAAGACGCCCCAAGAGCCTTCCAAGAGGCCTCCGAAGAGAGCCCCAAGAGGCCAAAATCGTTGATGTTCATTGGTTTTTTCGATGTTTTTTGTGTTCTGGCTTTTTCGGCTTCCGGACGCTCCAAGACGGCCCAAGAGGCCCCCAAGACCGCTCCAAGACGGCCCACGAAGCTCCCAAGACGGCGCCGAAACGACCCAAGAGAGCCCTCAAGACGGCCCAAGTGCCGCCCAAGACGGACCAAGAGGCCCCAAGACGGGCCCAAGAGGGACTCAGGAGGGATACCGAGAACTCAAAAATGGAGCCCTCCGTCCCAGAAGGCGCCCAGGAGGTCCCAAAGAGGCCCCAAGAGGCCTCCAAGAGGCCCCAAGATGTCGCCAAGAGGCCCCAGGAGACTCCCAGGAGGCCCAAAAGAAGCCCCAGAAGGCTTCAAACATGTCTCCCAGGCGCCCCCGAACGGCCTCTCAACAGACCCCAAGAGGCCCCCCAAAGAAGCATCTTGACGACGACTCTATTTCGCCCCATCGAGAGACGACCCCCAGGGAACTGCTTCACCATCAAAACTCCCCACGCAACGCGTCCGAACGACACCCGCCCCCAAGAGCGCAACATGGGCAACGAACACACAGACAAAAACCAGCGATGCCATATCACGGGCCGGCGGAATGAGCGAAGCGATTCAATAATTTCGAGCACCCGGAAAAAATGTCAAAAGAGTGTCGAAAGAGTGTCGGAACTGTGTCGGACGAGTGTCTCCGAGGGAACGACACGCGAAAACCCTTGAATTTTGAGGCACTTTCCTGGTGCTCGAAATTCTGTCTGGTGATTCAGGCTGAAACAGGTTGGAGCGATGGCGGATGTGCGGCAGCGCCCACGCATGACGGCAACACGCTGCTCCTCGTGGTCGACTGAAGCACCAGGCGGTCTGATGAGCGCAGAATTAAATCGGGCCTGTCCCCCTACAGGCCGATTTTGGACGAAAAATGGGAAATGGTCAAAACATACCCTAACATACTCAAATTATCCCGGCAAAGCAACCTAACATCGATGTGTAGGAGCATATCTGGAAGCATTCCCCTTAAGATTCGGATGAGAATCCAGTTGTAGAATTCTGCTGTTCTCGCAGTCGTAGTCGCATTCGCGATGACAGTCGCAGTGGCAACGGCAGTCGCAGTCACAGCCTCAGCCTCAGCCTGCCTCAGCCTCAGCCTCAGCCTGCCTCACCTGCATCAAAGGCTCTACGCATCAGGGGTATGGTCGGGAACCTTTTCAGTCTGCTTCAGCCTCAGGCCTCAGCCTCACCTGCCTACAGCCTCATCCTGCAACAGCCTCACCACAGCCAGCCTGCCTCAGCATCAAGCCGCCTCAGCCCTCAGCCTCAGCCTGCCTCAGCCTCATGCTCAGCCTGCTCAGCTCAGCTGCTGTCTGCCGTCGGCCTCGGCCTCAGCCTCAGCCTGCCTCAGCCTCAGCCTGCATCAGCCTCAGCCTCAGCCTCAGCCTGCCTCAGCATCAGCCTGCCTCAGCCTCAGCCTCAGCCTCAGCCTGCCTCAGCCTCAGCCTCAGCCTGCTTCAGCCTCAGCCTCAGTCTGCCTGCAGCCTCGGCCTCGGCATCAGCCTGCCTCAGCCTCAGCCTGCCTCAGCCTCAGCCTCAGCCTGCCTCAGCCTCAGCCTCAGCCTGCTTCAGCCTCAGCCTCAGTCTGCCTTCAGCCTCCGCCTCAGCCTCAGCCTGCCTCAGCCTCAGCCTGCATCAGCCTCAGCCTCAGCCTCAGCCTGCCTCAGCATCAGCCTGCCTCAGCCTCAGCCTCAGCCTGCCTCAGCCTCAGCCTCAGCCTGCTTCAGCCTCAGCCTCAGACTGCCTTCAGCCTCGGCCTCAGCCTCCGCCTGCCTCAGCCTCAGCCTGCATGAGCCTCAGCCTCAGCCTCAGCCTGCCTCAGCCTCAGCCTGCCTCAGCCTCATCCTCAGCCTGCCTTGGCCTCAGCCTCAGCCTGCTTCAGCCTCAGCCTCAGTCTGCCTTCAGCCTCGGCCTCCGCCTCAGCCTGCCTCAGCCTCAGCCTGCATCAGCCTCAGCCTCAGCCTCAGCCTGCCTCAGCATCAGCCAGCCTCAGCCTCAGCCTCAGCCTCAGCCTGCCTCTGCCTCAGCCTCAGCCTGCTTCAGCCTCAGCCTCAATCTGCCTCAGCCTCAGCCTCAGCCTCAGCCTGCCTCAGCATCAGCCTGCCTCAGCTTCAGCCTCAGACTCAGCCTGCCTCTGCCTCAGCCTCAGCCTGCTTCAGCCTCAGCCTCAGTCTGCCGTCAGCCTCGGCCTCAGCCTCAGCCTGCCTCAGCCTCAGCCTCAGCCTCAGCCTCAGCCTGCCTCAGCCTGCCTCAGCCTCAGCCTGCCTCAGCCTCAGCCTGCCTCAGCCTCAGCCTCAGCCTGCTTCAGCCTCAGCCTCATTCTGCCTCAGCCTCGGCAGCCTCAGGCCTCAGCCTCAGCCTGCATCAGCCTCAGCCTCAGCCTCAGCCTCAGCCCTCAGCCTCAGCCTGCCTCAGCATCAGCCTGCCTCAGCCTGCCTCAGCCTGCCTCAGCCTCAGCCTGCCTCAGCCTCAGCCTGCCTCAGCCTCAGCCTCAGCCTGCTTCAGCCTCAGCCTCAGTCTGCCTTCAGCCTCGGCCTCAGCCTCAGCCTGCCTCAGCCTCAGCCTGCATCAGCCTCAGCCTCAGCTTCAGCCTGCCTCAGCCTCAGCCTCAGTCTGCCTTCAGCCTCAGCCTCAGCCTCAGCCTGCTTCAGCCTCAGCCTCAGCCTGCCTCAGCCTCAGCCTGCTTCAGCCTCAGCCTCAGTCTGCCTTCAGCCTCGGCCTCAGCCTCAGCCTGCCTCAGCCTCAGCCGCCTCAGCCTCAGCATCAGCCTGCCTCAGCATTCAAAATGTGGCCCGGGATTGGAGTTCTGGTAACTCGAAGAACACGATGTGGCCTACAGTTGGCTCCGGGCATTCAACATCATGCCCAGGAATATGGAGTTCTGGACTCGAAGACCACGAAGTGGCCTACAGTTGGTCCGGGCATCCAAAATGTGGCCCGGGAATGGAGTTCTGGGAAGTCGAAAAGCACGAAGTGGCTTACAGTTGGCTCCGGGCATTCAAAATGGCCCGGGAATGGAGTTCTGGGAAGTCGAAGAGCACGAAGTGGCTTACAGTTGGCTTCGGGCATTCAAAATGTGGCCCGGGAATGGAGTTCTGGGAGGTCGAAGAGCACAAAGTGTGCGACTGTTTGTTTAAAACGAGCCCGGCCCTGAGCCCGGCCCTCGCTGTCCGGATGCCGCCCAGACTTCCTTTCTGAGTCATCAGATGCTCTCTTTTGACACCACTAGAAACCTATCAGTCCTCGCTGTTAGGTAAAAAATTCACGACTTTGACGAATCGAGGGTGGCTCGGATTCAAATTATCCCGGTAAAGCAAACGAACAGCGATGTGTAGGAGCATATCTGGAAGCATTCCCCTTAAGATTCACATGAGAATCCAGTTGTAGAATTCTGCTGTTCTCGCAGTCGCAGTCGCATTCGCGATGAAAGTCGCCGCGGCAACGGCAGTCGCAGTCACAGCCTCAGCCTCAGCCTGCTTCAGCCTCAGCCTCAACCTGCCTCAGCCTCAGCCTCAGCCTGCTTCAGCCTCAGCCTCAGTCTGCCTTCAGCCTCGGCCTCAGCATCAGCCTGCCGCAGCCTCAGCCTGCATCAGCCTCAGCCTCAGCCTCAGCCTGCATCAGCCTCAGCCTGCATCAGCGTCAGCCTGCATTGTGGCTTCGCTCTCCGCTTGCTTGAAGGCCTGGAGCTCGGCGTCCTGCTCTGGCGAAAACTGCTTGGCTTTCCTTGCTTTCCGGACTTTCTCTGCCGGCTGCCGCTCTGCGAGGTTACGCCCGGCATTCTCCTTCGGGTGGCGGCCGAGGTCTCGCACTTGCTGCATGAGCTCCTCGGTCTTCTGCTTCCGCTTGAACTCCTCGGTCTCCGTCCGCTGATCAGAACAGCCCAGGGCCCGCAGTTCATCCAAAACGTTTCCGGGGATGCGGTCGCGATGGTCCGAGAAACGTTTGGCCAATTTGTTTTCGGCCCGTTCTTGTTCGGACGTTCTTTTATTTCGCTTCGGTATCGGGCCGAACTGCTTCACGTGCTCGACGAGCGTTTGCAGAGGACCGCTCAATGCAGCACGCTGAGGAGCAGCGCTGTTCACCGCCGGAGTCTGAGGAGCACCGCTGTTCAATGCAGC